TATATTTTGTATTTTGTCTAGGACGTTTTCTCTAAAAATCCCTTTAAATGGTCTCACATCCACACCCTACTCCGGACAGTCACCAAAATTTAATGGGTTTTTCATTGGGTTAAACCTAAAACTCCCTGTAATTTTTAGTTGTCTTAGTTGAGATATGTCGTACACAAAAAACACACGAAAACACCAAAATGTGACACACACACATGCACACACAAACTTACACGACTAAAATTATATATCTCCTGGCGGAGATGATAATAATGATAATAATAATAATGATTGATTGATTGATTTATTTATTTATTTATTTTCCACATAATGAACAAAAACAAACATATACATGATCAAACATATTCAAAAAATCTATGTGGATGGAGACCACAATAAGTTTAAGAAAAACTTTAAGATGTGGCCACCATTAAAATAAAAATAAAATACAAAAACTGAAAACATAAACAGGTAGTCTGGTTTCTATTTTAATACATAAGGTAGAAGGCTTAATTACCATACATCGAGACCGTTTGATCGACATCGTTTGATATTAAGTTTAAATGAAGAAAAACTGGGTAAAGTAAAAACAATATGCAGGCGGTGTATGATGGGCGAAACTGCCCTCAATGAAATAATAGATCGCCCGTCGTATTCGGTAGATGCTAAATACAACGGGTTCAGCCGAGGGGGCGTGGCTTCGTATGTTGACGTCATGGATAACTTTCGCTATGTTTTGTAATAATCTCATCGACAACGTGTGGGAGATCTGGCTTCTCTTCCACCCCCTGTCGTGGAGAAAAACCTCAATTCGTCGGGGAGAAAAAATGTAATGTATTTTCTACATATTAGTAGACACCAAAATCGACTAAGTAAGCCTTTCAAACCAATTCTTTTTCGGGGGTTGGTGGGGAGCCAAGAGGAACACTTTCGATGGATATTGAGGGACGTCCGACGTTCACTTTTTTCGTCGGGGACCTCGGGGCCTTATAAATTAAAATTACCACTTTTACAACATGACTGCTGAAGTTCAGATTTTTTTTAGTGTTCACTGATTTGAAACAATATTGCCGGCTATAATCCAGAAAAAGAGAAAGGAACCGAATGTTATATATATGTAATTTAAGTAAATATACACATCTAGGTGTATTTTGTATTGTAATGTTATGTAGGCCCATTATGCGCCTATTCAGTGCAGATTTTTCAGTAGCCTAGGCGAGGGTCTTACAACAGATTCTGCATGCGCCTAACTTCACGTAAATGAGGCATAGACCTAGACGGACTGCTGCGGGTTGCTGGACGCACAATCTAGGTCTAGGCACCAGACTACTGAAAAGACCTCCTGGTCCGACCTAGCCCAGGAGCCTAGACCTATGAACGTCCATACTAGGCCAATTGTCTGAAAATGGACTCGATCGTCCCTCACTCGCTCGTAGCAGCAGCTCAAGAGAAAACATAAGCTAAGCCCTAGCCTGCTCGCTTTGCTAAATTTACATTGGTCACACCTCCATGGTCACACAGTGTAGTGTGATGTTTTTTGGTAGACGGCTTAATTATACTTGACGTCACCATATACACGCCACGCCCCCTCGGCTGAACCCGTTGTATTTAGCAACTACCGTCGTATTCAGGCACATTATTTTCTTAAGTGCTGCAACCTACCCTCAAGAAAATAATGGAATTAATAGTAATTTTGTAAAACGAATTCAGTAAGGGAATTGAAGTTTAACAGGACAAAAAGTGCACTTTACCTTCAGACGAATTCGTTATCAAGAGAGCTGAAATTCATAAAAATTGAAACATACACTTACATAAATAAGTCATAAAAAAGTGTAGGCCTAGCCTAATCGGTAGCTAATATTTAATTACTCACTTAAGTACATAGCTAAATACGGAAAAATACTGGATAAAAATGTATTGAAAGCATGCACTATGGTATTTATTTGGGATTTTATCGCTATAACAATGGCGTATTATAAATAATATCTCAATTTTAAATAGTTAACAATGAATTTGCAAATTTAATGAGATAAAAAAACCTACCTTCCGATGAATATGGAGACGTAAGAGCTGCATTCATTAAAAAAATATGACACAAATATTATTCATCTTAAGCTTAAGATATCACATAGAATATTTAAGAGCTTTTTATTTACTACAGTACTGTCGAAATCATTTGAATTAAAAAGAATGGTAATAATTTCGATCAAAAAACTTAGAATTCATTATCAACTACGAAAGTAGAAGTACATGTAACATATCAACATTTAGTATTATAGTATCCAGAGGTGACTCAAGATGAATATATAGATTCATTCTGACGACACAGATACCCATGTAATCTTCGTTACATCATTGAATCAGGGAGTTGTTATCTAATAACAACTCCCTGATTGAATCAACCCTATGGCTATGTCTACACGCACCTGGTTCATTGGAGCAAATAAGTTGTGGGTTGATACACTCCTGTCCGAACTCCGCAAAATCCATGAATTTTACTTCCATACAATCGATTAGCTTGGTATCTTCTACAGTGCATGAAGAATTTCCCAGGACAGCAATAGCAGCCTCATTTTCAGATATGGAATCATCGGTTCGCACGTGTCGTTGAAATCCTAATTTTAAAAATAGTCTGCCAGTTACCTCCGCATTAGTGGCATAGCGACGATTCATGGGGCTCGGGGCGATAAAATGTTGCCGACTCCTTGTGTGAGAGACTATTATATCCTCCCTACATTTAAGTATTATGCTTTAGCCCACAGATATGCATTTAGTAGAGTATGTGTGTAGGTTCTACCTAATTTAATATCCAAGAAATTACACCACACAGACATAACATAGGTATCAGTTGTCTTTACTGTACCAAATATCTGTGGTTTGGACAAGAGAGGACTTCTGTTAACATCGCTGCAAGAAGTGTAACACCTATTCAGACCTACTGCAGCCTATAGTATTATATACAGTATTATATTAATATAATACTGTATTATATTAATATTTACCACTTTTCATTTTGCTTTACTGACTTGGTAACTTAACTGTAAGTAAACTTCGCTTTATTATGTATTAGTTGAGGTATGATTTTAATCGATACTGTTTAAAGTGTTTTAGGAATTAAATATTGCTGTGCTGAAATAGTCCTGGTACTAGTTTGGATAACCCACAATGTGGAAATAGTATGTTATGTAGATTTACAGTAGTGGTTCAAGCCTTACCTCGTGAACATCGAAATAGGCTCTTTTATAATTATAGCTCATTTTGTATTCATTTGCTGGGAGCCTGAGCACTGTTTAATTTTACCGTATTCTCGGTGATACAGTGTTTTGCGTCTCATTATATTTTCCGTTAATAACAGTTAAATAATAGTTAAATAGCTATGGTGCTAATAACGCTAAGTCAGAATACATAGAATTACTGGATACATAGATAACCCCATTCAATTCAATACCTGTTAAAACGCATATGGTAACTTTAAAATAAATTCCGTTCTTTGTTGATGGTAAATATAGGCCTACATCAGTTCGTTGTAGTCATTTCAGTCTAATTGCGTCCTATTATCTATTTCGGTTTTGCACACACACTTTTAATTTGAATATTAATTTTTACTTGCAACGCTAAATTAGGTCTATGCATAAATCGTTATCGTGAATTTCGTTAGCGAGCATAGGTTACATGCTTAATCATGAATATATTGATGTAAGTTACAATGAAGATTTGCTAATATAATCGGATTTTGATATTACCAAGTTGGCGGCAGGCAATCAAGCCCTCTGTAATACCAAAACTCTGATCAGCAAAGCAGCCAGTCAAGAAATTATCAGTTCCGTTGTTGAACTGCAGAAATCCAATCCCAAATTGACTACTACCATAGATTTTCAAATCACCTCGTTCGGCTACAAAACAAAAACAAATAAAAAACATATTTATCCAAATTATTGCCGGTGTTGGAGCGCTAAAGATAGGTTTTCGTTCCTTCATGAAAAGATTGTTATAAAGATATATTGAAGGCACTACGAAAGCCTATTAGGGCCACTAAAATATATATTTTTATGTCGTAATTACGACTTATTATGTCGAAATTTCGACATACGTATGTCGTAATTACGACTTTTTTCATTTCGACATACGTATGTCGAAATTTCGACATAATAAGTCGTAATTACGACTTACTATGTCGAAATTTCGACATAATAAGTCATAATTACGACATACGTATGTCGTAATTTCGACATATTTATGTCGTAACTACGACATAGGCTTGGCCTTCTATTTATATGTATATCTCTAAAGATTTTAAAAATCAATCTTAATTACTAAAGTTAAAGATTGTCAAAAGAGTTGAAATGTACAAATGGTGGATTTTTTTACTCATTTTTACCACTGCAAAGGATATTAATTTCATTTTCTACGGTAGTTTCTTAAAAATAATGACATTTCTTTGTAGTAATTTGGGGTGTTAACATTTGTGTGTGTGGGCGGGGTGTGTGTGTGTAACGTTTTGGTATTTTCGTGTTTTTCATGACAGGGCAGAAATAAATTAAATATAAAAATACTGTTTTAATAATGATAATTTAAATAATAACTAGAATTACTCATTTTACGCTACGTAGTAAAAGGATAGCCTCCCAGCGGTGCAATTTTGTCCGGTACAAAATGTTTAAATATTTTGAATTCTGAAAATGTAAAAGCATTTTGAATTTATGCGGTCGTTCGGTTAGGCTGAGATATGTTTGTTTAAGTGTCAAAATCTCAGTCAGAATCAGTTTTTTAACAAATTTGAAATAATTCTTGTGAAATATTATATTCACAAGTGTCAATACTAGCAACGGAAAATATCATGTCGGCCGTTTTTATGTGTGATAACAGAGCCTAAATCGAGGCAAGGCTATGCCTAGCCTAGCAGCGTTGGAGGCTAATGTTTTCGGCGCCTACGATATTTCTTCTCACGACGTATCGCAAAATCAACATGAAAAATTCATCCGCATTTATTTTTTGTGTGGAACACAAAAAAATCAAATTTCAGTCTTATTTTACATTTTTTTCATTCTTAGGAATGTCTAAATTCAGTTAAACTAGCAATTCCGTATTATATCTATAAATCTTTATAACATTATACAAAAATTAGATTTTTCTTAAAAACTGAAATTTTGCCGGGAATGGGGCATTTTAGGAGACTTATTCCATTTAATTGAACCTTGATGGCTAACAAAAAGTGACTTTTAGTAAGTCTTGAAAGTGAAATATTACGATTTCGAGTTATGGTATCTTCTTGATTGATTATTTCATTGTAATTACTGATTAAAGGAGGCAATTTGTTATCCAAGTATTTACATAATATGAGACAGGGTAAAATATTGATTTAAGGTCAAAGATACAACATATACAATATAATTAATGAGGTACCGTAAAATAACAGAATTATACAATGTAATTCCGTCAGTCTTTGTCTCTCCAACAATTCAAGTTTTATAGCGCTGTGAGACATCAGTAAGGAGCACTTTATAAATGCAAATTATTATTATTATTATTAATGTAAGATATTATGAGGGCAAAACAACTTAACTTTATTCAAGATTCCAGCAGCTTTTAACAGAATTTAAGTTGGGTTTCCAGCTTATAGTAACTCCTAAAAATAAGATATTGGATCTACTTTCTATAATAGTTTTTGATTTTTATCAAAAAATACCCAACCTCAGATGCACTTTCGGGTTTGCGATTCATACTTTTTGTCCAATAAGCTCTTTCTATAACTGCCCTTTTACAAAGGGGGTCTAATGATTAACGAAAGGTCTGTTGGCCGTAAAATTATTTTGCGTGTGACTAGCAATACAATTCTCTGAGGAGCGGAGGCGATTGTTTCAGGGCGGTGCATACATCGAGTACAGTAGTCGTCTTACTTGGCAGTGAGGGCTGGCATGTACGTTTGATAATTACGTGTTACAAAGATTACAATAAAATACGTTACCTGATGTTGCAGCTACCAGAATAACGATGCATAGGCCTACTTGAAAATTCATTGTGCAAAACTCACTACCTTTATAAAAGTAATGTTGAAATCGTATTTCTTTGTGAACTAATTTTTCTGAAGATTATTTATAATGAGAAAACTAAAGCTCGTTGCTCTTTCAGTTTCACTCTCAAATTGCATAGATAATGAGGTCTATATCAATTTTATGAGGATCATATTAATTTTCATGAAGTAATTATCTATTAAATCACAAATTTAGGGAAATGTTCTTATATAAATTTGAAACATTTATACTCTAGAAGCCAGACCAGGTTTTGTATGCACTTTAAGGTCCAGAGAATTTGACTTCAGAAATTGGTTTAGGGTGGTCCAAGAATCATTTTTGGCTCGGTAACACATTTTCAAAATGTGGCGAAAGGTCAAAATGTCAGGGTCAAAGGTCATAGATATAGGGTCGTCATTTTGAATTTTGGTGCCTATTTGTTCAGAACATTCATGTTTCTATTTGCTCTAATGGAACATTTTGTTAAGTTAACGGAAATGCTGTTTCTAACCTTTGACACGTTTCAAGGTCATAGTGTTACCAGTGTCAGTTTCATCATTATAATTATTTACACATCTTAAAGTTCAATGTCCAAGAAGTGAAAGTGTGAGTTTTGTGGCGCTTTAATCATCGTGGTTAGTAATTGTGATTGAAGAGATGGGGATGTGTAAAACAGTACGGTAGGTACAGTATTTAGAAGGGTGTAGTTTCTGAGAAAGGGAGTAAAACCATGAAAAGGGGTGAATGACTTAGGACTTTGTTAAATAACGATGTTTGAGAGATGATGAGTTAGTTGTCGAGATGTGATTAATAGAGAAAGACAATTCGTGGGACAGCCTGTGTGGAGCATGATGGTGTTGGACTTTGAACAATTTTGCTTTGAACATTTTTACTTTTACACAACCTGACTTAAACAATTCTAATTTGGAACTGAAGATTTAATTTGAGCGACAGTAGCTAAACCAGAGCAAGTATTTTCATGTATTTTGTACCGAATTATTTCATTTATATCATTCGTATTTATAGAAAATGACCGGAAATGCTGTTTTTAACCTTTGACATGTTTCAAATGTCATAGTTATTGAGTCCTTATTATCTCCACAACCACTGGTGGTAGAGAGTTAATTTTGGTGCCAATTTGTTCGGAATACTCGTGTTTTTATATGCTCTAATAGAACATTTTACTAAAATACGACCGGAAAAGCCGTTTCTGACCTTTGACATGTTTGAAGGTCATAGCTATAGAATCTTCATATCTCCACAACCACTGGTGGTAGAGAGTTAGTTACGGTGTCAATTTGTTAGGGACATTCGTGTTCCAATGCATATATGCCTATCCCTAAATATACTTACTGTAGAGACTAATGTTTCTGTTTACTTGATTGGAACCTTCTGTTGTAACAAATATGGCGATACTGACCATTCACCCATGTTACAAGGCATTTATCACATGTGGCTGGTGTTGACAAAAGGGTTCTTATATCTTGGCAACCAGTGTTCACAAGGAGTTGACTTTGATATTATGCTATTAGCAGTATAGTAGTTACAGAGATAAAAATCCACAGAACTCTTAGTCGGAGGTGCACTTCAGGTCGCTTTTATATCATACATTCATTTAGACCGACTTGATTTGATTTATTAAATTGCTTGTAAATAAAATTGTCTACAAATTGGCACCAAAATTAATTCTCTACCACTAGTGGTTGTGGAGATAATAAGGACTCAATAACTATGACATTTGAAACATGTCAAAGGTCAAAAACAGTATTTCCGGTCATTTTCTAGCAAACTTTTCTATTAGACCAAATAGAAACATTAATGTTCCGAACATATGGACACCACAATTAACTCTTTACCACAAGTAGTTGCGGAGATATAATGACCCTATTGCTATGACCTTGAAATGTGTCAAAGGTTAGAAAGAGCATTTCTGGTCATTTTTTAGCAAAATGTTTTATCAGACTAAATAGAAACATGAATGTTCTGAACAAATAGGCACCAACATTAACTCTCTACCGCCAGTGGTTGCGGAGATATGACGACCCTATAGCAATGACCTTTGACCCTGACCTTTTGCCACATTTTGAAAATGTGTTACCAAGCCAAAAATGATTCTTGGACCACCCTAAACCAATTTCTGAAGTCAAATTCTCTGGACCTCAAAGTGCATACAAAACCTGGTCTGGCTACTAGGGTATTAGGTCCCTTCCAGCATTGTTCAGTTTACAAATTATAAGAAATCATTATAGTTCATGTACTGTAGGCTTATTTCTGTTTTGATTATTGATCAGTGTCGCTAACGTGAGATTTCATAAATTTGGAGACCTTGTGATTTTTAATGTAACGCCTTGTGTCTGAAATAAACATATATATATATATATATATAATTATTTAAAAAAAACAAAAAACAAAAAACTCCATACAGCCTAAATCCATGGAATAATAAAAAAAATTGTAATTGTAATCTTTTTACAGCACTATTGGAAAATATGGACACTGAAGAGTTCTTTTGTCTTATGCTGGTAATTATGTAGCGATGCTGAGGCTTCCACTTCCACACTAATTCATGTCAAAAGAAAGTGGGGTGTAATAATGATCATGAAGCAATAATAATCACAGAACCGTCAATAATTCAGCAGCGTGGCAATGCTACCAATTATTGCCTGCTCGAAGATTATATAGAATATAATAGGCCTATACAAAACCAATGGTTTTGCATCTTATTCTTAGTAGTGGACGGAGACCAAATGTCTACCATGAAGTGACTACTATTGTACTTTCAATAATATTTATAATAAATTGACTGAACAGTTCCTTCAAAGTTGCATTAAGTACTGTATGTGTTTCAGAGGAGGATTTTTTTTGTTGGGGGGTGGGGGGTGTGGGCGGGGGGGGGGCCCCCTTTTGGAAAGAAAAAAAAAAAAAAAAAAAAAAAAATTGATCACCCAAAACGGCTCAGAGGTAATTTTCAGGCATCTAGAGAACAATAATTTTGCGCGGAAATTCCCCCGAACCCTCTAGGGTGGTGTTACCTCAATCAGCCCAAATTTCAGGCTCCCCCCACTTTCTGACATCTCTGGATTAACCACTGTGTTGTGCTCAATATTATTGCATATCTTACTGATACAAACATTCCATTTTTAATGATGTTCAGGTGACTTGCACAAATTTTAGCCACAACAGAAACCACGAATCTTAACGAATGAATAAACATCTTGAATTAAGTATTGAATCTTTCAATTTGAACATTTATTCTGTACAAACCAAGAATTCGCTGCCAACGCAACATATGGGTATACATTAGTACAATATACTCACTTGTGACGACATTATTATATAAATCACCTATCCCATCATGCACCACTTACAATTTAAAGGTGCATCCCTGCAAGTTCAACTTCATCATTTTGGTAAGCTGATATTTTTTCAATGCTTTTAAAATGTAAACATCCAGAAAACTTCATTCTAAGATTGACTGAAGCAATGCAACCTCTTCTACATGTTCCGACTCAGAACGTACAGTAAATGTACACAGCATTTGTGAGACACATTAAAAGTAATGTAGGCCTAAATTTTTACTATTCGAAAATATCAATATGTAGGCTATTCCTCATAAAACAGTGCTCAGAACATGAAAAGCGATAGAAAATAGGATAGCTCTAAGTCATTGAGATAAATGTACACACTATATTAAAATTAGGAAATAATATTTCAATATGTTCTTATTACAATAATGATAGCTACTTTGAAATATAACTATACAGTATGTAATATACTTATATACTGTATAATATACATATAAATATTTAATGTACTCTATGTATACAAAAATTATAGTGCATATACATTATGGTCTTTTTAAACATAAAATATATGTGTATCTATACACACATAATTTGTATGCTGGGGTAAGGATATGTATGTGTATGAAAGCATGGATGTACATTGCTATTAATTATCTTCATGTTTGTGCAATTCTGTCAGCAGTATATGCATACAGTATACGCATATATAATGTTATATTGTATTACTCTTAAGTAAATATGTGCGTATTCATATAACAGTATTATGTGCTTATAAATATATTATGAGAAAATACTGAATTATATGATCAACAGCTTGCTACATAATAAAGGTGCAGAATGGTGTTGTGTACCAGGCAATACAACTAAAACAACTTCGTTTCCCAAGCTTCATAATGAGTTTATAAAAGGTCCAAAACAACCAGACTGGATAGAATGATACATATGTAGGCTTACTGACATGGTGGGCTAATGGCAACACAATATAGGGGCACTAGTTGGAAAATGCTGTGATTTTTAACTGCTTGAGTGAAAATAGTTTGCCCAGGAAACTTTCAGGAGGAGAGGGATCTCTAGGGAGCAAACCTTTCTAGATTCCCCACCAACATGCTTCACATTTAGATATGTCAGTGTGGCTAGATTTTTCTCACTCAATATCACTTTTAAAACATATTAAACAATTTGAAAATAAAAACATATCCAATCCCATGAAATCTATAACTGCAGTACAGACTACTGATTAAAAAGTTGGCACATAACACAGACAATTGCATTATGCAGCCTATACACTGACAGATGGATATAGAGACAATAATAAATCACAAGCAACCAGTTTTGCTGGTGGTGCTCAGCAGGCTCATAGCTCCTCCTGGCTCTTCAGGATGAGGATAGCATTAAAGATCTTCACAGCTGGGCCTAACTTGATGTTCATTATCTTCACTAAGTCAGTCTGTGTCAGGAGTAGGAATGCCTCTCCATCGATTTGCTGATTTAAAGAAAATGAGAAGAGAGGTTAGCACATGCCACAAATATTAATGCAAAGTGTAATTTGTCAGAATACATGAAAGAACTGCTGGTTGTTTTTTTTTTTTTTCATTTGCAATGTCAACTTTACAAACTGCATATTACTTAAGATAATGTACTTAATATTCAGATTAACTTTGTTAAATTGATGTTACAATATTAGTATTCAACATACTTTTTCCTAGAGAGAACTATAAAGTTAAATTATGCTCAACCTAGTCCCAATTTTAAAAAGTCATGATAAACACATATTCTATAAACTCTTCATGGCTTACCTCTTCTGCAAACTTCTTTGCATGTTCCGTGCATCCTGGGAGCCTGCTGACAAATTCTGACACATCGCTTTGGTTCCACTTGGTGACAATACTCGTTGGGATCTCCGAAACACCTGGCAACAGCTTGGTATGCTGTTCCCAACAGAGGGGTAAATCCCTGACAGGGTGGGGTGACATTGCTGACATGAACACAGACTGGTGTAGTTGGTTATGTAAATTGTTGCCATCTGGTAAGAAAAATGTTTACAATCATTTTACTATAATCAACAGTTTTTGTTTTTGTAGAATCATATGGTGGGCAAGGGTTTTGCCTTTAAACTGATTCCCCATTTACACTGCCAGCAGAACTCCGAACACAACCCAGGATTTTACAATATTCGTTTGATTCCAGAGTAGGCCTTACATGGCGCCTACCACCAAGTGTGGCTACTTTCTCATATGAAATTATGTCATTGGCTGGAGTAAAATTATGCTACGCCTCAAATAGTAGATATATACACGACTGCCATGGATTTAACTAACATTTCAGCACTTAGATACACGACAGTTGGGTATGCAGTGCTTGTGGCTTTCAAAATAGCATATTTGGCCAAAATTGGATTTAACACATTCGTTTTAGGTGAGGAGAGAAAATGTTAAAAACGGGCACCACTAGATGCTCAGAAATGGCACTTTCACATTTTTTGGCAATTATTTTTCTAAATGTAATAAAATTTACATCAATTCTAAATTATGCTACGTTTTCATGAAATTATGCGTAGCATTAATACTACATGCTACGGGGTCCAAATTATGCCAAAAAGTATAATTATGCTACGAATGGCCACTATGCCTACCGCAGCTGTGGTGAGGTACGCCTAAACTTTGCTAGGCCAAGACACCTTTCAAATTAAACCTCCTACACTTCTGTATAGACGTGATCACCAAACTGCTGATTTAATTCGTTTAATTTAAAAAACAATTTGCAAATACATTGCTTCAATATTCATAATAATTGCAGCTGCATCAAAACGAGGAAATCGAGCGAAGTGATGATCACCATCGCAACAAAAATTGAGGGCAGTATTTGAACCAGAGTTTGTTGCCAGTGTAAGGTGGGTGCAACTTGGGATCAACCCGGATTTTTTCGTTTGATGTAAATGAAAATGCATCCTTTACCATTCCGGGATTAACACAGGCTTATTCTCATCTTGGCAGTGTAAAATGGGTAAAAGCGTGTGTTTATACTTGCAACGATAATGATAATGGTTAAAAAGCTAAAAAGCAATTGTTCATGTAGAAAATAAAAGGAATAAGATTAGTTTTTTTACACTGGGACGATTCAATAATGAATTATCGTTTATACGTTACAAACATATTTTGATAAATAAATTCAAATGAATTGATTTGTCAAAAATATGTTATGTTACCATATACACAATAAATTGTTATCGAATCATCCTAGTGTAAAAACTTCTCTTTTATTTTCTATATGAGCAATTGCTTTTTAGCTCTTTATGGTTATCATTATCGTAAAACAGGCCTTAATGAGGTCATATTGCTTGTGTCCTTGGAGCTACACACCATACATACATACATTTGTCTCTCTACCCAAAATACCTTGTGTTAAACAAATCTAACAATAATCAAAATTACGTCTCATTAAATTCAAATTCTGGTGGTTTGCAGAGCCAAAGACCCTAAGTTGATCCATCCTACTTAAGACATAAGCTATAAGTATACAATAAAGTTAAGCATAAACTGTGTACATTAAGGGAATATTTCTGAAATAATAACAATATTATTTACCTTTTTCAGCTTTTTCTCTTAGTTCTCCATCCAGTGATTTCTTTGATCTAAAAGCACATAATAAATTTCAAGTCATTTATAAGAAGCTTGATTCTCAATCACATTTTGGCAATGCTATTCATACACACTGCACTGCACAAGAAAAGATATTCTATACATCATAGAACTAAACAAGACCAAATTTGACAACAGGTTAGATCAAATCTCAGATCCTCGTTTGGCAAATCCTGGCACCTCCACTGATTTCAGGTTAGAAAGGATAAGGTGGCCCTAAATATATTAGTCTATTCTACTTAATATAAAAAACTAAATATACATTATCTTAGCTTTAAATTGGTCTTTAAAAAAAATTGACATGCTCATGGGCAACAGCAACAATGGCTTATACCTAATCTCAACTGGCACATACAATTTTAATTCATTAAAAAAACATAAGCTAACTAAGCTTTGAGGATGATAATGATGTCAGTGGTGAAGATGAAGTTAAGATAATATCAAGAAAAAACTGCCTGATATATGATTACAGTGTGGATGCAAGTAACAAATTTTGATTTTGTATTCAATTTATCTATGATGTACTTAAAGAAGAGCAGGATGCCTTAAAAACAACGGTTACCTCCCCCAAAGAGGACAGGCAAAGTTAATGTGCGCTCTTGACAATTTCGGAACCACCCTTTTTTTTAATTCAAAACTCATTCTCAATACTGTTTTTGGAAAAGTGTAAATTAGTAATTGAAAATAAGTCTCATCTCAGGACCTAAAATACAGTTAATACTATAAAGATTTTTTGTGATGACAAAAACAATAATCTACCTTTTTCGACCTCGTGGTAGCTTCTTCGACAGTGGAGGGCGCCCCCTTTGTGGTGGACTTGGGCTTTTGATCTTTGTGGTATTGTTAAGCGACATCGGACAGCCTGAGAGTTTGTGGTGATAGGAATATTTACCAGTCACATGACCTAAGCCATCGCAGCCATTTGTTGGACACCTTTAAAAAGATTTAAAAAGTATAAAAAATGAAAAAATATAAGCTCTAAGCTTATCTCTATATTTTTGTAACATTACATAATACACCCTTTAAGGCAGGAAAAAACCAATTATTATAAAAAAAAATTTAGTTCATAAAACTGATGTAGAATATAGGTTTAAGAAACACTATATCTTTTAAAAAAACATAATAAATACTAACTTGAATTCTGGTGATCCCAGAAAAGTAGAATATAGGTTTAAGAAACACTATATCTTTTAAAAAAACATAATAAATACTAACTTGAATTCTGGTGATCCCAGTACAACCTTCTTTGTGAGTTCAACAGGAACAGCTTTCAATCCAGACAATGTGATACGATCCTGAATGACGCCCTCTTTGTTCATGTTTAGTGTGGAATATGGACACCCGAAAGCACTTTATTAAAAGAGAAAAAAATAATATATTAACAATTTAAAAGTTTACACTGGCAGCTGAATTTTATCAATCTGGGTTTTTGTCACATTTCCAGGTTAATTTACTTTAAAGAAAAATCTGGCTGGATATAATGTTGACTGTGGATGACACTATATAAATACACGACCATTATCTTTGAAAGCTGTGTTCGCTATGTTAAATAGACAGTGAAACTAATCTATTTATGAGTTTGGCTACCATCTTCATCAAACCCTAACACTTTATCAACAGTTAGCAAAATGAATAAAGATGTACTTACCTGTGATGTCCAGTATACTTAGCACCTTTGATGTGGCCTATACCATTACAACCTGGGGTTGGGCAACCAATCCTGAAAAAAAAAAGCAGCATGGTATAAAAAAATATTACAATATATTCAAATTAATGTTAAATTCTTAGCTGATTGAATGTGGTTTGAGCAGGAACATCCTCATTCACATCCAATGAAGCAAACACTTCAGATAATGTAATGCTTTGGGACTGTTATTTACCAACTTGCTGTTAATAAAAAATACATTAAGAATAATTTTTTATTATAATAACTTATAACACACAGTTTTTAAAACAGGTTACTAGTAAAATACCGTAAAATCTCGAATTGAAGCCCTGGACTGCTTCATTTTTTTTTTTGCAAACTTTTGATGGGCTTCTTTACGAGATGGGGTTCTTTTCAAGACTATTTTTGTAAAGTAAATAGGTGGGCTTCTTTTCAAAATGAATGCTGTAAATTTTATGAATTTTTACTATAAAACAATTAATATGGCCACTGTAACATCAATCTGTATCATAGAGTGTATTTAACTGGCATTAAATTACCTAAACTACTGTATAAACCAAGCTTGTGTTTAATTTATTTTGTTTTTTGAAATTCATGTACAGTGTATGTACAACCTCAAAAAGAAGCCTATGCTATCTTGAAAAACAGGTTTCTTTTCGAGGCTAATTTTGCAAACTAAAGAAGGGGCTTCAATTCAACATTTTACGGTAATTCTAATTTTGTACAGCAATTTAGTGAAACTGTTTCTATTTTTTTCTTCTGTGTAGCACTGATCAGAAATATATTCATATATACAATTAATTATTATATTACTGTAATAGTAAAAAAAAACCCAAGAAAAATAATCAAGCATAAATATTGCAAACTCTGCTATTATCTAGGGTGTCACTATTATCACTCACTCTTTGTCTACGAGGTCAGCTGGACTAATTGGCGGTTGCAACGGATGACCTGTCTTAGTACACCAACCAGCCGGGTGAATGTCAGGACTATCGTCATCTACCCAGTAGTCATAAATATCTGACCATCCATCAAAATGCACTTTGACACGGTGGTTTTCTGCATCTACTATGGTTGCTGCTCGAATCAGACTTGGATTACGTTTATCAACAACTTCTAGCTTCATGCCAATTTGAAAGCCCAATGGTGCCCTCTAGATGTCAAACAAAATTATTTTGGAAATATTAATATAGAAAATTTAATAAAAGGTTTTTCTCTAAACAAGAAAAATCTTTGTTTGTCTCTACCAAACCTAATTACCGACGGATATTTCTAACCAATTTACTGATCATGATATTTTGATGTACTATATGCCTATCAACTTGAATTTAACAATTATTGTTATACAGTAACACCTCCCAATTACAAACCTTCCATTAACAAACTCTTGATTTTACGAACCCCTGAATTAGCAGCGATGATGTCATTACGAAAACACTTAAAATTGTATTTAAAAGTATTCAAAATAATGTAAATCAGTTAAGAACAAAAAACATTTAAACCAATAAATTGGCAAAAGCTTAAAGCAAGCAATATCAATCATTCGTTTTTAGCAAAGATATATTCCATTTTGAGTTGTGCATATGCTTGTACAGGCATCTACTGCACAGCAGAAAACAGTGACAAATTGTTGGTGCCATGGCAAGGCTTAGGCCTACCTAGCCCTGCAATTTGTAGTATAGGCCAGTTCGGACGGAGGGGTATGTAATTGGGAGATGTTACTGTACTTTTTTCTGTACTTACAGGTTTGAAAGCCCTTGCTGGGACAGAAACTGCCTTCTTCCTCTGCAGGTAATCTGCCCACGTAAAATTTGCAACATCTGGGTAGTCTAAAGTTTAGAAAAAAAACTTAATCACTAAATATGTGGTTGTCTTCTGATATTTATTTATTATAAACTTCTTTATATCAAGAAAGAGAAATTTGAAACATATTTTCCTATGAATAATGACAAATAAATGCATAGTTACCAATTGTCTCGCATCGTGCGGGACGGTCCCGCATTTCAAAGTGATTTTGGATGAAACACGCATTTTGCAGAAACACATGCATGATCATAAATTTGTTAGCATTAAGCACAAGTCTATGCGTGATAACAAATTATCACGAATTCAGTGGAAAATGTGTTTAAAATTAGAAGAAATTTGTTTTATTAATGAAATAAAAACAGTCATGAAGTAACTTGAGCCATTAGAGAGCTTTTGTTATCACATTCAAGAATCAATTCACCAACAAAATTTCTACCAAAACAACCCAGTCAACCACGCAATTAGTAGGATCTACGAGGCGCGTGCGGGTTTGCGCATTCATTGTCACAACAAACTGTTGATTAGGCCTATGTGACTGAAGCTGGGACCCCACCGGGGCTCCGCCACTGAACCCCGGAGGGGTCCCTGGTGGCCCCCAGCCAACTATAGTCACGCATTTCAAATCTCTCAGGTTGGTAACTATGTAAATGTACATTATCTTATACTGTCTACATTGCTTCCTTTGCTAGCCTATTGTTTATTTTGCATTAATATATCAAATATTATCAAATTTTGTTGTCAGATTTGAAAGATAATGTTTGATCAAACTTGGCCTGATGAAATAAAGCACTGTCCAACTTCCAATGTTCATGGAAAGAAACACAATGCTTTGAACAAATATCTGGAGAGTTCTAGGGAAAACAATCAATCAATCAAGCAATCTGACTCGCCTGTGTAAAGGCAACAAACAAACATGCTACACTATTATGAACTCAAATAACACATACCATTGGGAGGTGACAATATCTTGCCATTCTCTTGACACCAGCCAACAGGATGGATATAAGGGGACGTTGCATCGCACCAATAATCGTACATATCCTCCCATGCATCAAAGTGAATGAGGAAGCGATTGTTCATCACATCGGCTACAGTAGCAACGCATATCAATGACGGGTTCTTCTTATCCACTGCTTCCAATTTCATACCTTTTTTGAAACCGATACTGTGAAGCGGATTTTCCTGAATCAAAGATAAAAAATAATAAACAGTAATTGTTGAAAATTCACTATATTTAGAAAATTTCCATTATATCCGCAAGAGTACAAAATGTATGTTTTAGGGGTTGACAGTTTAGGCCTACTCTTTTATAAAAAAGATTGATGGCCTCAAAATAAGAGTATGTTTTGTACTTTTGAAAAAAAAAAAAACTGAAAATAATGGATGAGCCCCTTTAGGACACCATTTGGGAAATATGCACTATATGTAACATTATTATTATCATTATTACCAGAATAAACTAGAGTATGTTTTCTGTCTATGGTTTTCCAAGCAGAGTTATTTATTTTGCCATTAGAAATTGAGCATCTAAAACTCCAGTTCCACATCATGCAGATTTTAGTGGTTAATTCCACTTTTGCTGCTCCCCAGCATTGTATTGCATTTTGATGTTTTTTTAAATTATTTTTTGCAATATTCTTCTTAATTTGCTTAAAAAAAAAAAAAAATATAAAACATTGAATGAACTAACACACAACTCACAGATTCATAAATTTTAAAATAATTCTTGGGTGGAGCTTGTGCCTTGCTCATTCTCAGATATTGGCTCCAAACAAAGCTGTCACACATACGCGTTTACAATTTCCAGTTTCTTATTGGCCAGTGATTCGATCATCATATTTTTGGTATCCGGATCGGGATTTTCTTTTATCGACACACGGCAGCTAACGGTTAGCAGGATCCGGATCGTACTAACCGTTAGCTGCCGTGTGATAACATGGCCAATATATGACACACCTTTTGGGGGGCATAGTTTATGTCCTGTTTTCTCGCAAGTGCCAGCAGGCTGAATGTCTGGGGAGTCAGCATTTACCCAGAAATCATAACATTCTGAGTAGCCATCAAAGTGTAGACGCAACCTATAACCTCTAACCTCGCTGATAGAGAGTACACAGAACATGGATGGGTGCTTGGGGTCAATTCCTTCTAATTTCATTCCAACACGGAAATTGTTCCTTCCCGTGGGAAATGGCTGCATATATAAAAAAAAAGAGGAAAATTTTATTTATGGAAGTAGATTATTTATGAACAAATTAGCATAGTAAATAGATGTGTATAAGAGACCCATTGGGAGGTGACAATATCTTGCCATTCTCTTGACACCAGCCAACAGGATGGATATAAGGGGACGTTGCATCGCACCAATAATCGTACATATCCTCCCATGCATCAAAGTGAATGAGGAAGCGATTGTTCATCACATCGGCTACAGTAGCAACGCATATCAATGACGGGTTCTTCTTATCCACTGCTTCCAATTTCATACCTTTTTTGAAACCGATACTGTGAAGCGGATTTTCCTGAATCAAAGATAAAAAATAATAAACAGTAATTGTTGAAAATTCACTATATTTAGAAAATTTCCATTATATCCGCAAGAGTACAAAATGTATGTTTTAGGGGTTGACAGTTTAGGCCTACTCTTTTATAAAAAAGATTGATGGCCTCAAAATAAGAGTATGTTTTGTACTTTTGAAAAAAAAAAAAAATGAAAATAATGGATGAGCCCCTTTAGGACACCATTTGGGAAATATGCACTATATGTAACATTATTATTATCATTATTACCAGAATAAACTAGAGTATGTTTTCTGTTTATGGTTTTCCAAGCAGAGTTATTTATTTTGCCATTAGAAATTGAGCATCTAAAACTCCAGTTCCACATCATGCAGATGTTAGTGGTTAATTCCACTTTTGCTGCTCCCCAGCATTGTATTGCATTTTGATGTTTTTTTTAAATTATTTTTTGCAATATTCTTCTTAATTTGCTTTAAAAAAAATAAAAAATATAAAACATTGAATGAACTAACACACAACTCACAGATTCATAAATTTTAAAATAATTCTTGGGTGGAGCTTGTGCCTTGCTCATTCTCAGATATTGGCTCCAAACAAAGCTGTCACTCGAGAAGCCTATTAGTGTCAAATACAAACATAACATATATCAATATACAAATTGAAAAAAAAAAAAATCAAAAATATAAATGGAAATTACTGGTAATTGTGTTAATTTACTCGTCTTCCCTTATTGCGTAAAATTGACTAAAAGCTTGCAAATAAAATAAGAAATGGATTGAAACTAAATTCTTGCTAAATGACAGATGCATATACAATGTTTTATTTTTTTTCATTTTATGAACCTTAAAAATTGCAAATGATCAATTTTAATGAATTTTGTAGTACAAAATCAGTAGATCAGTGAAAACATGTTTCCATTATGGCATCAAAATATATTTCATCCAATTAAATAAACAAGACAATGCTTTAATTGAATTATTTTATGTTTGTTTCTTTGATTTTACAACAGACAGTATATATTTATGATAGCAAATTGAGCTGAGTGACATTCCATCAAAACTAAACCTGGAATGAAACGTAAAGGTTATAAAATTTTCCTCCGACACTAAAGCCTGGTTCTCACGAGAGCATTAGTATCTGGATCGGCAGTTAACCATTAGCGTTAACTGTTAGCGGTATCTGGATTGTGCTATCGGTTAGCAAGTTGAGCACGTTTCTATTATCAACCAATCACACATACGCGTTTACAATTTCCAGTTTCTTATTGGCCAGTGATTCGATCATCATATTTTTGGTATCCGGATCGGGATTTTCTTTTATCGACACACGGCAGCTAACGGTTAGCAGGATCCGGATCGTACTAACCGTTAGCTGCCGTGTGATAACATGGCCAATATATGACACACCTTTTGGGGGGCATAGTTTATGTCCTGTTTTCTCGCAAGTGCCAGCAGGCTGAATGTCTGGGGAGTCAGCATTTACCCAGAAATCATAACATTCTGAGTAGCCATCAAAGTGTAGACGCAACCTATAACCTCTAACCTCGCTGATAGAGAGTACACAGAACATGGATGGGTGCTTGGGGTCAATTCCTTCTAATTTCATTCCAACACGGAAATTGTTCCTTCCCGTGGGAAATGGCTGCATATATAAAAAAAAAGAGGAAAATTTTATTTATGGAAGTAGATTATTTATGAACAAATTAGCATAGTAAATTCTAAAAGGTATTATAATAATAATAATAATAATAATAATAAAATAATAAAAGGTAACAAAACTTTTACCTTTCAGTCAATGAAGGAAGCTGTCACATAAACAGCAATGCTAAGATTGGCCTAAATTCTTAAATATCAAAAAATATTTTAAACCAAAATACAGAATTTCAACTACACAAAATACATTTGTCTCTAAAAAAGCTTTCAATAACCAAAAATATATATCATAACATTTATCTTTTTTCTTGTCCAATGTAAATATCATGTCAATGTGTTAAATTGTTTTTATATCATATTTTTATATCTATTTTTTGCAACAAAAAAAAAAACAAAAAACAATCCACATACATAGCCACAATGTTTATAAATAGAAACAACTAAAGGAAATAATGAAATACTGTATAAACAACTTGCATCTTTAAATAGCCTAGCTGGCGCAGCTCTTGCTTTTTCTTGCTCTAAGTAATGTGACCAGATAAATCCTTTTTTCTTTCCTAAAAAGTTGAAAAAAATACAATACAAGTACTTAATATTATGTACTGTATACATACTTGATTCTGTGATTCACATTTTCATTTAAGATAATGTATTGTACAAAAACAATCTATTATATGCTTCATTGTATTCCTAACAGAATGGATCCTGCAAAATTGGCTGCAGTAAAATAAACTGAATAATTTCTTTTGTCATTTGTTTTTAGACATTTAACTATAAACTACCGTTTACTTGTTTTAAGATTATTGATGGTTCTTTCTTAAGAAGTATTATAACATAAATTGACAGTAACCAAGCCTAATTGTTTATTAACATAGCATCCATTATAACTATTTACTATTTATCTATAAATTTACAACAGGAATATGTTCGATATAGTGTATTATTTCGTTAAATTATCAGTGATCAGTACAGAGAAATATCTATGTATATTATCTTGCTTCTACGGCCAATATGATCCTACCTTCACAAACTGCATGTTTTGCTTATTTTATTTTAAAATTTATGTTAATATATATTATTATTTCCCTAAGAAGTATGTGCGAGTGCCGAAAATTAGCATATAAAAAATTTGACAAAGTAAGCGCAGTAGTAACAAGTTGTTATAGTAACCTGCTTTTGGCTTCTCGGCTGCCTTGACCCAATCTGTACCTTTCATTTGTAATTTCATCTTTAAGTCACCATGAACTTTGCCCTTATCACCTAGCTTTAGCTTCTTCTTTCGGCCATCTTTCTTCTTTGTATCCAACATCAGCGCTTTCTTGTCATTTTCTTTGCGTATCAGTCCTTGTCTACATTACAAGTACAAATCATTGGAAATAGTATTTTTAAAACCTTGTGGACATTTTTAACTTCAGAAAGGTTGAAATATTGAAGGCATTATTATTCATTCAATGACAAAAGCTGGGACGACAGGGCTCATGGAAAAGACTGACAAAAGAAAAAACAGATGGTTTGATTTGGGACAGGCCTTTGTCCAGCATTGGTACGCTACAGGCTGAGAATGTATGACATCAAAAGATTTTTTATGCATGCTTTTTGAATTCATACATACCAATTTTGATATTAACTGATGCAATGATAAGTACTTTACTTGAAAAGCGAGTTCGACTGAACCATAGCATCTTCCCTGGTTATGGGCCTATAAAGGCATTGTACGAAGAAACTTAGGCTTTCAACGTCAACTACCTAATGCACATGTTGACTGCTAATTACAGTACAATCATGTTAAAGTTGTAACTGAGGGCGCCCTTGCAAGTGCTCTTGTAGACAACCGAGGACAGATACATATGTAAATGCAGGAAAGATACATATCTACTTAATTAAGTGTTACTTACTTGCTGGCATACGCTCCAACACATGACTGACTACAGAAACGCCCCGAACGACAGAATTCGTGAAGTTTCCCTTGTTTACCACATTGCTCACAAACTAACAGTCCGGACATGTCGTCTGGCTGCTCAATTTTCACTACAAAACATTAACAAACTTGTTGATTATAAAGTATTGGTAATTTAGATATATATTATTTTAGCTGCAGCTATTTAATACATACCAGTAAATATCTTGGGATATAAATACCAGTAGCAGATCCTGGAATTCAAAGAGAGGGATTCCAAGGGAGGAGGTTGAAAGATGGAGGACCACTTTAGCCCTACCATAGTTGTGGCTGAAGTAAAATTCTTATGGCTATGGCACCTCTGGATAACAGGAATGGCACTCTTAGACTTAGAAACTGAATGTAATTTTTCCCCCATTTTATTTCCGATTTTCAAAAATTTAGAAAGCCTAAGGCCCCTTTTATCTGCCTCTGATAAAGGGGGCTTCTTTTACAATTACCTATTTTTTCATGGTTGGAAAAAATATACAGTGCATTTTTTTTTTTTAGATTAGAACCAGTAAAATTTTGCCTAGGGTCAGTGTTCTTATTCTTTTTGCCGATTTCAAGCTCAAAATATTTTCATTTTTTCTTATTTTACACACTTTTTAAAGATAAAAAAAATTATTGTACAACAAAATAATTGTGACTGTATTATAGAGGGTATTGCATAGTCGCACCTACTGAAAATAAGGTTCATATTTTAAACCATTTTCAGCCTGATTGTTCTTTTTAAATAAAAGTACTGCTCAATATATGAATCTACACTAGAGGGTAAATTAGGAATTATATTCTTGTCCACTTATCTGGTACCTTTAACAGTATCGGTTTGGCTGGTACTAGGTATATTATCGTTGGTTGCTATTGATTCGTCTTCATTTATCAGTTCTATCATGCCAAACTCGTTCATTTTAAACTGAAATGGGAAAAAAAATGCCAGTTTAAAACATACAGGGTTACTGTAAGCTAGTATGAGGCACTGTACAAAGCAAACAAAAACAAAGAAAAAGCTTAACAAAAGGGAGTCCATGTACACATGCTACTGTGCATTTGAATGTTTGTTTGAAGAGTCAACAACAGAGTGTGGAAGATTATATCAGAGCTTGTTAAACCTATCATGGCAAAAGATGAACTGGAATAAGCGAAACCCACACCTCCCAAGTCTCCAAAAAAAATAATCTCAGCAATTTCACAATAATTTGAGTGTCAGCCTACCTGAAAAAGAGCACTTTTTCTGAATTATGAAAACAAATAGATAATTTGTCAAAATGCAACAGTTGAATTTTAACTGTGGATTTTCCCATTGGAAAATTTACAAACATCCCAAACAATTACGAAAATCTTAATACACTTCACAGTTTGTAAAGCTAGTAAATTTACTCAATTTTTTATGCCATGTAATGTAGTTTAACACAATGAAATCTCAATGAAAAATATCATTACTCCCAACAGAAAATGAGAATGAGTAATTTGTATAGCAGTATGAACACTCTCAGAGTTAATAACCTTAAACATATAAGTAAAGAATAACTCTAGTTCCATGAAGTTTGAGTGGGGAGAAATTGGACATACATCAAGAACAATAAAACAAAAAACTGACCAACAATAAAAACAGTTACACAAAAAAGGAAAGAGGTTTAAATAATTATTATAATCAATCTTACAAATACAGAAATATAATTAAAAATATAATTATTTATCTTTTCAAACAAGTTAAATCGATTGGTAACTACAAAATTGTTTAGTATACAGGTGGACAAAGTGCAGCCTACGGGCTGCATGCAGCGATTTTTTTGCGGCCCGTGAAAATGAATTAAAAACCCTATGTGTGCGGCCCTCCAAGCAACATTGGCTAGAAAACACCTTGTTTTTTATGGCCCAACACCAATCATATGTAAAAGGTAACATTAAAACTGAGAATAAAATGGTGTAAAGCAGTGCTTGGAGGTTTTTGGAAGCTCACTGGAAACATTAAAGTTTGGGTGCGGCCCTCTGTGTTAAATCAAAAATTCACTTTAGGCCCAATTTTTATGCTCACCCCAGGTTTAGCATTTCAACGCATCTAAGTCTTTGTACATTACATTTTAATACTTTTATCTGTATAAAAACTCAAAAATATATGTAGTTGAAAACAATAAACACATGTATAAAATTTCCATAGTGCTTAATTAACCTTTTACAAGACCATAGCCTACATTTTAATTTAAGAATGTTCATTACATCATCATCAGCCTGTCAGGCCACTGCTGGCCGATGGCTTCCTCAAACTCCATTCTGATCTGTTCTTTGCCAGATTTGCCCAGTTCGCACCAAGCTCCTTCTGGAAAAGTTCACTCTATCTCTTGTTAGGTGTTCCTCTTTTTTTTTTGTGTCCGATGGCCTCCATACTGTTAACTTTTTGGCCCACCTGTTATGGTCCATGCAAGTTACATGGCCTGCCCACTCCCACTTTGTTATAGATGGTTTTTCAGATACATCTTTAATCTTTGTTGCCTTTCTTATATCTTCATTTTTTCCCTTTTATCCAGAATTATTATTATTATTACTGATGTTGAGCATAGACCTCTTCATACTTCATTACAATGAAAGTTTTTAATCAATGTTTAATAATATTTTGAGTACAATTATAATCATATTAACAAACGTAAAGAAATAAATTATTATGTAAATAATATGGATAGTATTGTTAGTACCATGGAAGAACATTCTCTGGGTACAAAGTCAAAATTAAACAAGGGTAACAACAATACAATGTGCTCAATCTGTTTATCAGAATTTATGGTATATCAAACAATATACCATTCAACTTACAACTAATTAAGATTATAATTATATACATAGATTGCATTATAGAATACAGTTTTAAACTAATTAAAATATTTGTACTTCATACCTGGCCAGAGGGAAAGTTTGAAGCCTTATAATAAACTCCATTCTTTGTCGTTTTCTACACATCCTGCGAGGTAGTAGTACCAACGCCAGGAAGTGAGTACGCACACACACAGAGTGAGTTAATAACTTTACAAAGATTAGGAAACTTCCCATTTAATCTTTAAATCAATTATTCTGGTCTGGGAAAAGCAACTGTGTTGCTAATATTCGAGATCTTACTATCAATAACTATTCCTTTAATGGACATGGAAGTTATTTTCAATTAAAAAGAACAAAAAGAGAAAAACATGTGTATCAGAATTTATCCCAAAAATATCACCTATTAGACATAATGGTAAAACCTAGTGAATGTATGATTCAGAGAGATAGGTTATGATAATTGGGTGATTCTATTTACCTTGAGGGAACTTCCTTCCAGGGATGCAACACCATCTTTCCATTCCATTCCTGTTACCACATCTGATGAATCTGTCTTCATATCTACGGTGTCAAAGAGTGGGGTGGGGGAGGGGTCTGAGCCAGTGTTACCACCTATGTCTGTATCATTCTGCAGCTTGGAGAGGACAGAACTATTCATGGATGTGTCCAAGGAAGAGCAGCCCTCTTTAGAAAGAAATGGTCAATAATGCTTTGTTATGATACTAAATCATGTCATAATTAGAGGTTTTAAATAACACTAGTACAAGATTATAGAAGATAAGGTGATCTTATTTTTTAGCATACTTGGCATGTTATTGCTGAATTTTAAGACCTACATAGATACGTAAGAAAATATCTAAGAATACCACCCTAATTTTATACATGATTTTTCAATTTTTAGCATTTTGCCTTCTACCAATATCATTCTGATAAAAAGAATGCTCAGTTCCTGAAAGTTGTCTAAAAATATGCTACTAATAATAGAACATATTTTTCGAGCTGTGAAATATTTCTAAAACTACTATAAACTATATAAAACTATTTTTAATTTTTAATATGTATACTTATCCATATGATTAATGAAATGTTCTTATCCAAATTTACTTCCCCTTTTAATGTTTTTTTAATGCCCGTTTTTCAATCTTTAAAGGATTTGTTTTTACTTTCATCCTTAATGTAATGAGCAAACGTTACCGTCAATAGCTTCACCATGTTCCATTTCCATTGGTGATGATTCCAAGTCCTCCTCACTTGCTCGCAGAAGCTCATTCCCTTGCTCCAGTACATCTTCAACATCTTTGGAACCTTCACTCCCTTTGCCTGATTCATCATCTCGACTCAAATTTGATACAACTTTGTTTTCGCTCATTTCTGCTGGTGGACCATCATAATTTGTCGATGAATTTCCTTGTTTCTCTAATTGTTCTTTATCTGTGTTCAATTCTGTTTTAGATTTGGTTTCGGTTCCTTCATTCTTTACCTCATCTGACTTTGGTTTCTCTGAGTGAGCATCACTCATCTTTGGTTTATCATCGTCACTACTTCCTAACTTCACATCATCTTTTACTACTTTTCTTTTATCATTCACACTTTGTTTCTCACCGTTTGCATTACACTTCATACCATTCACCTGAGGAAGGTCCTTGATTGATTTTACTTCATTGTCCCCAACTTCTCCGTTAACAGTTTTCAGCTTCTTCGACGGGGGCTCATCCTGTGAAATCACTTTGTTGGTGTTTATCTCAGCCATATTTCAGCAACACATCTTATAAAAACATTAAACAGAAAATAGAAATAAAATCTTTCATTAATTATTCTGGTAATGCGCTTGAAATACATTTGCACTGTTGTCCGATTAGGTCCGAATTCATGATACTAAATTGATGAAGTAAACATGTCAACAATCAAGAATACTCTATTGCAATCGATCAAACAAGTAAACAGTGAAATTTGTTGTGCCAGTTGCTAAAAATACACTTAAAAAAAGACACTATTACAATATGGTTAAACACAAAATATTAAAACATAAAAACTAAAAGGTATAACAAATAAATATATTATATTATATTGCATGAGTCATGTAACTGCACTGAGAAGGTACTGCATTGAGTTACTTAAAACTTCAATAATCTTCCTCTAAGAAGTACTCTCTGCAAAAAAAAAAAGCAAATTAAAATTCAAATTTTGAATTGCTTGGTTGTTAAGTGTTAGCTTTCCTTTAAAAAATTATAACAAAAAAAAAAATTCTTGTCAATTAAAAGACTCATAAATAACATAATTCCTATACTGTACGTGTCTTGAATTTACTCCTAAATTAGCTAGTAGTACTTAATTTAAGGAATTCTGTATTAAAACATCAGAAAATCAATAAAAACTTTATTGTTTTGATCTATTTTCAATTGAAAATTGATAACATATTCGTAAATTGAATTTTTCTGGCTGCCACTTTCTGGATTTTACCAGACAGTTTAAATTTGAAGACATTTAGCAGTGTCAAAAATCGTTTATTATGAGATATGTTCATATCTTGATGCTGTATTGTATAAAAATACAAGCCTGAATGAACAGAAAATCACAATATGCATAGTATTACACATGCTGTTTATGGTGCAGAACATGGCCAATCATAGCGTTAATGGTTACTGCAAACTTGCCGTCATAAACAACTATGATGAAATATATTACATTTTAAGATTTACTGTAAGTTGAATCAATTCAATTGCCATCACAATAAACTTACTTTCTTTTGATATTAATTAGCATGAATGATAAAATAAGTATATAAAATCTCCTACAAAGCTGTGATTGCCACATTCAGTAATCAGATAAAATTTGCTGCATACATAACATACCCTACCACGTTAAATGATTCATCATACACACAAAAATATTGATTAGACTTAACTGTTGACAGTTTACGGTTTCTAATAAATATTTATTATTATATCACCACATAGTATACCTTTTGAAAACAATAAAAATGGAACTGTTATTTTAATTTTTCAATGTAGAGTAGCACACACAGTATTCAGAATTTTGGTCATACAGTATGCTTACATTAATTTTAAAAATTTATTATGTTTATGTAATATACAAACAATAAAATAGTAAGAATAATAACAAATGTTTAAGCAAGTATTAGTGAACTATTATACCCATAAAAAATGTTACTAAAGAAATTCCTTTTTTGGCTTGTTCTCCCTCCCTTCTGGCACCATCACTAAATGTAAGGAACTAACAACAACAAAGCAACATTGAAAAACAATAAATATTCAAACATAGGTAAGTTACAAACAGGGGGTTAAAAAGACTTAATATTTACTGTAGTAATTGTGATTCTTGTGAAATTCAGTGTGCAATACAGGAAATAAGAACTGAATGACTTAAAATTTAATATGGGTATTGAGCTTTTGATAATGTCGCATATGTTTAAGACTGGATCTTATCTTGATTGAGGGGAAGACCTTTTATTGCTCACTCAACACCATATGGACATTGTAACATGGCAATCGATGTAAGTTGGTACTTAAATGGAGTTTTTTTTTTAAAACAGAGAATACAATAAAGGCACTGCCCATACCAACAATTATGTTACTTAACGCTCAATGATTGTTTCCTAATGATTTGCTTAAACTTATTATAATGCTGATAGTGTGTGTGGATTTGAATTAAAGTTTAGTCTATATTTTTATGATTCACTGGTAATACTGTAGGGAGCAAATTAAAAAATATATCAATATTTGAATTCCTTACTGCATTTCTTAAGCAACACCATGCTTTAACTTTCCAATTGAAAATTAAAAAAATTAACATAAGAAATACATATTCTTTATTTGTAAAGAATAGTGATTGTTTTGCTAGATAATACGGAAATTGAAAACAGAAGGTTCTTTTTTCTTTTATTCTCTTTTGTATTTTTAAGAAATGTTGTTATCAAACAATGATAAATTATTTATTTATATTTAAAAAAAGATGTGCTAATTGTATATGTCACAGACATATACAGTTTTTTGTTCTAGGAAATCCTTTAAATAATATTTATCAGTTTTGCTTATTGCTTAAACGCATTTAAGCTGCATTCACACCTGATCCGAACCAAAATACCTAGAACTTTTTTGATGCGCTTCTAGTACGCGCCCCCTATTCTTTACCACTGATTTGATTTTATTTATCCGATTTCTTAGCCATACGAACCACTTTAGGATTCAGTGTGAATCTACCTTTACACAATAATAATTACATGTTTAACTGTACCTGTGACTACAGGTTTTATCTTTATAAGCTTTTGCTTCTGAAATTCTCCTTTTCCTTTTTTATTCTTTTCCTATACAGACTATTTGTTTAGCAAGTTAGGGTGTTACAGAAAAAAAAAAGAGAGAGAAAATAAACAAAAAAAAAAGGAAGAAAAAAAGTAGACCAGTTAATTTCAGTATTTTTTCATAATAAAATATCTCGAGTCAGTGAAACTGATTTTAGCGTTTCATTGTAAACAACTTATACATTCTTTTGAATCAGCATTTTATTTTTTGAGTTTTGACCTCACCATAAAGATAAATCTCCACTACCACCTAACTTGAAGAAATAAATTAATTGCTTGTTAGTATATTTCAATGTACAGCTTTCAACTGAAAATTAGAACCAACTTACTATCAGTCAATAAGTAGATGATAAACAGCCTGAACTAATATAACTTGGGCAAGACTTGTTTTATACCGTGTTGTTTTCAGAATAAAAAATAAAAGTTTTTCTTTATTTTTATTACGCTTTCTGCCGTCTTAAAATCTCCAAAAATAAGATACCGTATGCATACTTCTTCCTAAATATATAAATTTAAAGTAATTAAACACCCCACTAGTATACTGTTTATATTCAATAACATATATTTTTATTTTCCCCTCTGTCTGGATGTTTTTGGCAAAAACCATTTGCTAAATAAGAAAACAAAATGTTATATTTATTTTTTTTCCCACCCTCCTCTGACGATTAAAAAAAAAAAAAAAAAAAGTTTGCGAAACAAGGTATAAAAAAGTATCAACCTACTATAAAAAGTTGTAAAAAGACATTGAAGGAGCTGCAAGACGTACAGGTATGTAAAGAGGTAGCAGCAATTTATTTTTTATTTTTTTGCTTTCAGTTGAAAATTAGAATTTTAACAAAATAATTTTCTTGCCAAGAGAATTTATATTAATTCTTTGCAGACCTTTAAAAATTAGTAGGTAGTCAAGGATTTTAAAGTAAATTGTTGATAAAATTAGAAAAATATCTTAATCTGTGTCACGGTGGAAGTTGATAAATAAAATATTTTAAATATTAAGCATCATTATTTGTTTGATTTTAAGGATTTTTTTTTTCTTATTATATTACAGGTTTAACATAAACAAAGTGAGCTCAATAGTTAATACACTTCATCTTTGCCAGACCCAAATTTTTCTGTTCAAAGGGTTTGCTACTACCATCATCACTACATCATATTCTCTTGATAATGATTTTTATTCCAATAAAAAAAGTTTCATAAAAAATTAATGCCTACTTTCTGTCAGAATAAGCTAATTTGTTGGTGGTTCTAACTGGCCTAGAATTTTGTTATATTTTTTACAGTACATTTTTTAATGTATAATGGCATAACTAAAACATATATAATTGTTCCCGTTAGTTTTATTATTTATGTTTAAATTTATCAGCATCTTCGCTAATGATTTATTATGGTTAGATGTGCACTATTTCGTACATACAGAATTATAATGTTGAATTTTATTCGCTTCGCCAGGTTTCCCACAAGACAACAGATATGCAAATCATTAAACACGTTTGCAAACATTCGAAGGGATCGTCTTGGTAGGGAGATAGGCTAAATTTCGAAGTGAAATTAAACCATACATCACAAACAAAATAACAATTATGCTAACTAAGATTTTTATATAAGTATCGGCAATTGGTAAAAGGTCGAATAATTCAACTGGCAATATCTAAAACCGTTTCTTTTTTTTGTCACAAAAATGTTCCACGTGCATGTGGGGTACGTACGTACGTACGTACAACATGTAGGCCTCGGAAAATCCTTTCGGACTCGGCATCTTCACTCGAAAACTGTCGGCGATGAGTTTTATCATAAAGTAAATTCTCATATTAACTTTACAAACATGATAATATTTTGTAAACCCTGTCATTTAATAATTTATTCAAGCATTAATATATTATATTCATTAATATTTTATCGATTTGGTGGTCTTCTTTGTAAACAGAGAAAAAGCGACGATTAGGAAACCACCAAAGATAGGCCTAGGGGCCTAGCCTAGGCCTAACGTACGTATCTCGATAGTTTGAACTTTTAAAACGAGATACGTAGAAAACATTGTAGGCAAGTGCAATTTTTATGCATAAAAATACAAAAGAAAAAATAATCAAATAGGCATAATGCAAAAACAATTATCTAAGATTATAAATTAATAGCTTGCTTCCAACATTTTTTACACGAAACAGGTTTTTGAATCGAATTTTTATCGAACATTCTCCACTTCCGCTACCCAAGTCCAGGGTATTTTTGGCGTCTGAACAGGGAGATGAGGAGCTCGAGCGTATCGTATCGATTGATGATTTTCCATCGTAAATTCAATTTAATAAATTTAAATACAAATAGAAAATAAAACAAGTGTATCGGATAGATATAAAATTTAAACTTACAGCCACCATTTAAGTTGATATTAAAAGTACGTTACATTTTAACAAAAATGAGTCGTCAGAACTTCTGAATGGCCGATTCGAAAGTTGGTCATCAATCTGCAAATGACCGAGCACGCTATTCGCTACACAAACGTGTTTTGAAAGAAGGTAGCAAAAATATTTCATTAAAATGAATGGATAAAATCGAATGCTCAGTAAATTCTAAACACTGGAAAGTGAAGAACAAATTATTTCCTACCGACTACTAAGTAGTTTGTCCTTTAAAAATGTTTCGTTTTCCAGAAAATCGCGTCGATTTTCAACTTTTCCTATCAACACATTTGTAGGATCTGCGCCATGAGCTGTACCAGTATGGAGCCCGCCATCACTATTATTTGCATAACAAATCAACCAAAACGCACCCGTACTGCCGTTCAATAATTTGCCGGTACCCCTTAGAAATGTATAGTTTGTAATGTATATTTTTAACTGCAAAGCATAACTGATAACCTAATGTCAAAAAATATATTGCAAAATCTGTTTATCTAATGTTCAACTTTTCTTTAAATCAAACGTATCAAAATTAACTGAAATATCTGCAAGAAATATGAACACATCGAACGTAACAGTAATGGATAATTCTTAGAACAGCCAACGAGTTGAACGATAAGGACAGGGAAGTTAAAAATCATGGCGATTCTTGGCTTTAATATAATATCTTAGGAACATTAAGGGTTTCATTTAAAAATACCAATGATACCATCGAACATATCTCCAGCTTTTACATCATTTTTTTACTCAAATAGTAAAATTTACAATCATTTTATGTAACTGTACAATTCTCCATTTTGAACAGCTAGGCCAAATTCACTTCATCACTTTCGAATGTGTTAAAAACACGAAAGTCCTTGTAAACAATCAATGTTTAAATGATTCTAACGTTTTAACTTATGAATAAAATTGAGATTACGATAAGGTAATGTATACTTTATACGTACAAGATATCACGGACACCAGAATGATATCTGAACGTTTAATAAACATATAGAATTAATGAACTATCTACAGATTAAAACAATTGTGGAATCGTTAAGAAACGAAATTTCCATATTATTCATTCGTCAAATATATCAATCAGGCTTCGAGTTTGTTACCAGATTTAAGGAGAGTTTAGAATAAGCATGGAATAATACGAGGAATAATATCGATATGTTCAAATAAGGTTATTTGAGATAACTTCCGGGGTAACTTATCCAGATACAGCCTCAGTACTGTAAGTCTGCTAATTTTACATTTGACCTTCCATGATAGATAGGTCGAAAGGGTGATCACCCAAACCGTGGAATATCCCTTACCGAATTCACTCCGCGATTTACCCGCTTTTTAAACAAATTTGCTCGAGTGTGCTCATCAATGGGCAAAGAAGGCCTCTGGTATTACTCTTTCATTTTATGTCTGGTACAACTGTTCTGTGAAGCAGGGGAATCTAAAAGTAATAAACACAAAGTTAATGTTAAAAATATTATAGATATATTAAAAACATTATGTACTTAAATGACATAATAAAATGTTGATGATTCCATGGAAAGCAATTATTCATTCAAAAATGGAAGATATTAATATCATGTATTTTGTATCATCCTTAACAATGTCATAGTGGATACCTTCTTTAAATCTATACTTAAATTTAATTAAGCACATTAAATTAATAGCCTAAATTGGAAACTAATAAATGATTATAAAGACAGAAGATTCAAGATTTAATTTGCTGCCTAAAGCCATATGGGCTAATATCTACATAAAATTAAAGACAAACATACAATTTATTTAAATACTATATAGTTAAGTGAAAAAAAACCATCATACTGGAAAAAATATGATATTCATAGTACAAAAGGTCTATTGCAAACTTTTATTTAGGCCTATTTAGATTTAATCACTGAAAAACATTGACAATGATATGTTGGCCTCTCAAATAGTTTTAAATTGACCTATAATTTGTTATATGTATTTTGTGGTGAGAATAATTTCGTACTTATTTTTAATATATGTGACAGGAAAATTGCTTTTGTTATCATATAGATGAAGGGGGGGGGGGGGGTGGTAGCTGACAGAATAAGATAATTATGAGATAATTTTTAGCTACTAGCCTTTCTTTAGGAATGTGCGTCCCTGCGCACACCAGTAAATACGCCACTCCTGATCTTTACACTTCTTCTATTTAACACAGATATTGATAATACTAGCAGTGGAAACTGTAGACGTTTAAGATGTCCGACTTAAAATTCCAGAGTCCTGGGTCAAATCCAGAAGAATTCCTTATATCTTACATAAAATCAATTTCACTCTAAAACTAATTGTATGTAGAGGCCATTACCAGTGGCGTATCCAGGATTTTGAATAAGGGGTTGCTGTGAGAAATATATCCAATGAACTTTACACAAGGCACAAAATTAGGGATGGAGCATATGGATGGCTTATGAAGACACCGTAAATTAGTTACTAACTTACTTTGCCCAGCATATATTTCCATTGAATTTACTATTATTTTTTTCACGTTTAATCCAAAAGGGGGTGCTCAGGCACCGTAGAAACCCCCTGGTTACAGTGCCACCGCTCACATAGCAATTAGGCCTTAAACAATTAATTGTTTGTTTGCCCTTTAATGCTGAAAATTGTATAGGAGGGGTAGGCACAACCAAGATTTTTTTTTCTTTTTCTCCTGTTACCAAAATTAACATATTAAATAGCAATGCTTGCAATTAAGCCTGTCTCACTATTTGTTTTTCAAAGGGTATTCATCAGACTGAATAAAAATAACCCATAATCAATATTTTGCAATGAAATTAGGGAACTTTAATGTGCAAAATGGAGGAAAATAAAGATCACTTTTAAAAATCTATGAACAAAAAAAATCAGAAAAAAAAACTTTTTAAAAATGCCGCCCCTATTTTTCTATGAGCTAGAGGCGGGCATTGGAGGGCAAACAAACAATTTTTTAAAGCCTTATGTAAGCATTAATAGCTTTACATACACTCTGAGAGAGAGAGAGAGAGCTAAGCTGTTCAATAGTGTCTGACAATTCCAACAGAGGCCAGCAGTGTCCAAGGGAGTTACTAGTGCCTAGAAAAAAACCCAAATTTTTTAAGATGTTCTGAAATGTTTTAGAATGTATTTTTGCCATATTTTTTAGGTCCAACAAATCATGTCCGACAGGAGATACACTAGTCACCCCATGCCCCATTGATTCTGATATAAGTGACAACTCACTTGCTGTATAGATGAAACTTCAAATAATCATTACATTAATAAATTATATTAAAACTATATTTATTATAATTATTTTCTTTATCAGTTTAGCAAGTACTTTTGCATTATATATGTAAGACACACAAGCTGATGTTTTGGTTAAAATAATAATTCAAAACAGAGAAAAATTATTCTAATAATAATGATTATCATAAGTTAATCATAGGGACAGCCTCAAATCATAAAATGTATTCAATTTTATAATTTTTGTACGTTATCACATCAAACGTATAATTTTTATAATAAAAATGTTAAGATGATTATCATAAGTTAATCACAGTGGCAGCCTAACTCAAGTTTCAAACAACAATTACATATTTACCTGTCTTGTCAAATTAAAATTCTGTTTTTGTACATTACGATAAATTATTAATGATATACTGTCTGTGGTAAATTCTAACCTTAAAATTAAGTATACTCTCTGTCATTAAGTATAAAAAAAAACTCTAACAAAATAATTCACAAATTCAAAACAATGAATACATCACTTAAACAAATTAAATATAAAGTTTTTCTTTTTAATTCTAAAAATACACAGATAAAACAAATGTGTTTCTACTGATTTCTAGCAAAAAATCTATAATATGATTACCATCCAATTTAAGGGTCCATGAAAAATGTATCACTTCTACATTCATTAATTGACAAGGGAATTATTTTCATTATAATTTTCAATGAAAGCTAATAATGTATTTAAATACACAAAGTGAGCAATCCAAATATTGAATTTATTTTTTATCTATCAAAGACAGTATTTTTTGTATCTAGCTAGAAAAACTACCAGTCAATTTAAAAGACTGAAAATTATAAAGAAGAGATATCAATTTCCTTCATTTAAAAAGATATGCTCCAGAGGAAAAAATTTTTTTTTATATGTCGTACAAATCATGAATTTCTATCACACTGAAAGGGTGTTTGCCAGAAACACAGTAAGATTTTAAACTTTTAAACAAGGCATTGAATCTGTTGTGGAATTGTTTATTTATAAGTTTGGGAGGAAGTTTTTTGCCTTAATTTTAAGCCCGCCCCAAAATACAGAATTGATAAACAGAACGTTCTTGAAAGTATTGTAATGGAATTGTTTGCAGAAAATATTGTGGAATAAAAAACAATAGAGGAAACATAAGTCAACAGATTGCTTTAATAAGAAGGCAGTGTATCTTTCAGCTAATCGATACATGAAAATGGCTACTTGAAATTCATTCATATTTTAAGAACATGATAGTTATAAAAGAGATGTTTCATATAAAACATTTAAGAGGCTTTTTCTACAGCACATGTACGGAAAAAAAGAGGATAAATCTTCGCAGTTTCTACACTTAAAAACAGAAACAAGGATTTAAATTTATTAACAAGGGTCCCAAAGTCTCCCACGAGTTTTGGAAGTCTCCCAGAATTAGAACAGCATCCTGCACTCCCAAAAAACAAGCAAGAATCTTACGGAAACTGACCCATCTCTTGCAAACTCATTATATCTGCACGTTTTTACTACTTTATAACCCCTGGAAATTATATGTGTTAAGGAAGTTAATACTGAGATCCGATTCAGAAGTGACTTCTTCAAACTTGGGACCACTGTAAATATCAATACAGTAAGAAAGATATGCAGACAGAACCAAGTATCACACATTCGGCACGAGACTCACACAGTTGTGGTCTGTCTCATGCTCCCATGCTTTGTGGACAGACTGAAATGCATGCATTCTTAAAAAAAAAAAATGCAGATCTGAATGTATTTTCGAGGGGAAGTGGGGGGGGGGACGTCAGGCCCCATACGTCTCGCGCCTGCAAATTTATCTAACTTGGAATCTCTGGATACGATGGATTAAATTTTTATATAATATTGCATTTTTGGTGACAGGGACGTAGCCAGGATTTTTCAAAATGGGGAGCCGTCTTTATTGCGAGGTACATAGTACCGACTGGGTTGGGTTCGTGTGAGAATGCCTTCTCCCTATGCCAATAAAACTTCAAAACATTGTCTATGATGTCTTTACTTTACATACTTTAAAGCTGTGAGTCCACAACCACCTCAGCCCCACCTTGGTTGGTGATTTGAGGAAATAGTATACCTCAGATGGCCAGAAA